TCCTCCTCCTCCTCCTCCTCCCTCCTCCTCCTCCTCCCTCCTCCTCCTCCTCCTCCTCCTCTCACTCCTCCTCCTCGGCCACAGCTTCCGCCTACTAATTATCGTCCTCCCGGGCTTCCTCCTCCTCCCTCCTCCGTCCTCAGCTTACCCCCCTCCTCATCGGCATCTCTTCCTCCTCCTCCTCTCCTCCTCCTCCTCCTCCTCCTCATCATCATCATCATCATCATCATCATCATCATCATCATCATCATCATCATCATCATCATCATCATCATCATCGTCGTCGTCGTCGTCGTCGTCGTCATCATCATCATCATCATCATCATCATCATCATCATCATCATCATCATCATCATCATCATCGTCGTCGTCGTCATCATCATAATCATCAGCAGCAGCATCATCAGCATCAGCATCATCATCATAATCATCATCATCCTCATCGTCGTCATCGTCATCATGATCATCACCATCGTCAACAACATCATCAGCATCATCGTTGTTATCGTCCTCCTCCTCGTCCTCCTCTTCCCCCGCCGCAGCGTCCTCCCCTCCTCCTCCTCCTCCTCCTCCTCCTCCTCCTCCTCCTCCTCCTCCTCCTCCTCTTCCTCCTCCTCCTCCTCCTCCTCGTCATCCCGCAAGGCGGCTCTCGCGTGACTTTACTCATTCCCACGAATCCGCGGGCCCCTGGGAGTGTCATCGGCGTGTAAAGGCTCCCCCCTCCCCAAAACCGTCCCCCTCCGAGTCCGTCCCAGGCGATCCTGGACGGCCTCCGGTGGCCTCCAGAAGGACCACGACGGCCCCAGATAACCTCCAGCTGGCCCAGATCCCTCCAAGACAGCCGCTGCGGTCCGAAAAGATAAGCCAATTTGCGGCCCACGTGGGCCCCCTCCTCCCTGTGCCGGATTACGCAAGGCTGTGGTAGGCGATCCCGCGACGAAAAAATGAAGGGGTCGGAGGATGTGGCGCAAGCCTTTAGAATCCACGTCCAGAAGTGACGTGTTGCCGGAGGCAGGTCGCGGAGCGGAGCGGAAGCCCTAATGCAACGTATCCAATGTATCCAATGATTGCGTAATTGCTACATATTGCATTGTGTTACATTGTTATCTCTCCCCCCCTAACCCCCCCCTGGAGTCGCGCCACTTCCGTCGACCCACAGGTGGAGGGCCCCTTGTGGGCCTAAAAACGAACAAAAACCAATGGAAAATCAATGATTTCGGCTCCTTGGGCCTCCTGGGGGTCCAAGAGGGCGTGAAGACGGCTCAAGATGGTCTCAAGACTGGACAAGACCGCCCCAAGACGGCCCAAGATGGCCCCAAGAGGGCCCATGAGGCCCCCAAGAAGGTCCAAGAGGCCCCCAAGAAGACTCCCGAGAGCGCCTCCGGAGGCCAAAATCTTTGATTGTCCTACAGTTTTGGGACAATTTCAACGTTCTCGCCTTTTTCGGCTCTCAGAAGGCCATGACGGCCCAAGCAGCCTCCAAGACGGCCCAAAGAGGCCCCCAAGACGGTCCAAGAGGCCCCTAAGACGGCCCAAGAGGACCCCAAGACGGCCCCAAGGCGGCCGCGAGAGGCCCCCAAGACGGCCTCCGAAGGGGCGACACAGCAGAAAAACGCCCCAAGACGGCCCAGGACGCCCCCAAGAGACCCCAAGAGGCCCCCAAGAGGCCCCCAAGGAGCCCCAAGAAGCCCCCAAGAGGCCTCCAAGAAGTCTCCAAGAAGCATCCAAAAGGCCCCATAGAAACCCCCCAAAACCCACACAGCGACTGGAGTGTACTGTCATTTTTCCATCCTGGGCGAATTGCGGTGCAGCGCCAGCCAGGTGGAAATTGGTCACGGCGGCGCCCATGATTAGAGCTGACGCTGGAAGGGGATATGGGGAGGGAGTATGAAAAGGAGGGAGGGGGGAGAGGCCCCAAAGACGTCCCCAAGAGGCTCAAAGAAGCTCCCAAGAGGCCTCCAGGAGACCCCCAAGAGGCTCCCAAGAGGCCCCGCGACGACGTGACCAAGACGGTACAGGATGGCCCCACGAGGGCCCCCAACAAAAACCCAGACGCCCCAAGAGGGCGCCAAGAGGACCTCCAAGAGCGCTTCCAGAAACAAGCATCATTGATTTCACATTGAGTTTTGAAAGATTTTGGCGTTCTCGCCTTTGTCGACTCCCCGAGCCCCAGGACGTCCCAAGAAGCCTCCGACATGGCTCCAAGACGGCCCAATCAACCCTCAAGAGAGCCCTCAAGAGGGCCCGCAGGCGGCCGAAGAGGGCTCAAGCCGGCCCAAATAGGCCCTCCCAACACCTCACTGTACGACCTCACTGTACGTACTCCGGACGTGCACCCAGCGAAGCGAGAGGAATCCACGTCCGGAGGTGACGTGCTGAGCGGCAGCGTTTTCCGGCGAACGCCTTCATGCAATGTATCCAATGTATCCAAAGATTGCATAATTGCAACATATCGTATTGTGTTACATTATTATGTATCCCCCCTAACCCCCCCCAGGGGCTACGCCACATCCGTCGACCCAAGATGGCCACCCCCTCCCGGGGCTCAAAAACCTACCAAAACCTTTAGAAAATCAATGATTTCGAACTCTTGGGCCTCTTGGGGGGCCGCGAGGGCGCCAAGACGGCTCAAGAATGGCCCATGAGGGCCCAAAAAGCCCCAATGACGGCCCAAGAGGGCCCCAAGAGCCCCCACAACTGCGCGTCCAGATGCCAAAATCCTATGGTTTTGGTGATATTTCAACGTTCTCGCCTTTGCGGCCCAAACAGCTTCCAAAATCGCCCCAGAACAACCCAAAAAGTCCCCAAGAGGGCCCGAAGACGGCCCAAGAGGGCCCCAAGACGGCCCAAAGAGGCCCCCAAGATGGTCCAAGAGGCCCCTAAGACGGCCCAGGAGGACCCCAAGAGGGCCCCAAGGCGGCCGCGAGAGGCCCCCAAGACGGCCTCCGAAGGGGCGAAACGACCGACAGAGAAACGCCCCAAGACGGCCCAGGACGCCCCCAAGAGGCCCCAAGAGGCCCCCAAACCGCCCCCAAGGGGCCCCAAGAAGCCCCCAAAAGGCCTCCAAGAAGTCTCCAAGAAGCCTCCAAAAGGCCCCATAGTTGGTCACGGCGGCGCCCATGATTTGTGCTGGCGCTGGAAGGAGATATGGGGAGGGAGTATGAAAAGGAGGGAGGGGGGAGAGGCCCCAAAGAAGTCCCCAAGACGGCCCCACGAAACTCCCGAGAACCCCCAAAACGACTTCACCGTACGTGCTCCGGACGTGCACCTCGCGAAGAGAAAGGAATCCACGTCCGGAAGTGACGTGTTGCCACAGGCAGGTCGCGCAGCGGAGCGGAAGCCCTCATATATGCAACGTATCCCGTATATCGAATTACTGCACCATTGCAATGCGCTCAATTATGACATACTTGCTACGTATTACTCCGCATTACATTATCATGTCTCCCCCCATAACCTCCCCGCCCCAGGCCACGCCACTTCCGCCGACCAGGGTGGCCCCCCCCCTCTGGGGCCCAAAAACGTCCAACTAATTTTTGGAAGTCGACAATTTGGGCCCCCTGGGCCTCTTGGGGGCCCACGAGGGCCCAAAGACGGCTCAAGATGGGCTCAAGACGGTCCAAGACGGCCCCTAGACGGTCCAAAATTGCCCCAAGAGGGCCCCCACCCCCCCCAAGAAGGCCCAAGAGGGGCCCAAGAGCGCCCACAAGAGCGCCTCCAGAAGCCAAAATCACGTATGTTCCAGTGGTCGCTGGAAGACTTTAGCGTTCTCCCCTTTTTTCGACTCTCAGAGGCGCATGACGGCCCAAGCAGCCTCCGAAATACCATCAAGACGGCCCAAGGGGCCCCCAAAAGGGCCCCAAGACGGCCACGCAGGGCCTTAAGACGGCCCAAAAAGGCCCCCAAGACTGTCCAAGAGGCCCCCAAAACGGCCCAACGGGACCCCCAGAGAGCCCCAAGGCGGCCGCGAGAGGCCCTCAGGACAGCCACCGAAGAGGCCAGACGGCGCAAAAGCACCCCAAGACGGCCCAAGACGCCCCCTAAGAGGCTCCAAGAGGCCCCAAGGTGGCCCCCAAGGAGGCCCTGGGTGAACCGCGGCGCAGCGCGACCCAGGTGAAGTTGGTCACGCCGGCGCCCGTGATTAGAGCCGGCGCTGGAGGGGAGGAGGGGGAGGGGAGAAGGAGAAGGAAAAGGAGGGATGGGGGGAGGCGGGAGGGGGAGAGGAGGGGGAGGAGGGGGAGGAGGGGGAGGAGGGAGAGGGAGCGAGCGAGCGAGCCAGCAGAGGTGCGGTCGAATCGATGGCACCAAGCTGAAGAGTGGGGACAGCGGGAGGGTGGACAGAGACGTGCCAACCCTCCTGCACGGATAGAGCAGCCGATACGGCAGCTCAGCGGCGTGGTGACAGCGCCTCCCGAGGGTACAGCGCACGATTCACCCTGCACATTAGATATGGAGCCTCGCCAAGGCGAGGAAGCGGAAGCGCTGCAGCGCGTCCACGTCGGCAGGCCCAAGGTCCAGCCGTGGCGACGAGACCCAGGACGGGCACCGACAGGAGCGCGCCACGTCCGCCACCCCGAGGGGTCACGGAAGGTGCACGCCCCACCCCCGCGGGGACGGCCCGACAGACCCGAGGACCCAAGGAGCGGGACCGACGGCGGCCAGGGCCCCGACGGGGCCGAGGCAGACCGCACCCAGCATTTCGAGCCGAATCCAGCCGCATGGCCCGTGCAAGGGGGCAGCCATTACAGCCTCGATGGGAAATAGCAGTTATCAGCAAACTGATTTCGCACTGAAATCTGAATACTGTACTCGCGCGCAGAAAGCGTGAGGAGAAGTCTGCACACACAGTCAAAACAGCATTCAGCAATCATGGTAGTATACACGGCAAAGAAGACTGAGAAAGATTAGCACAATCATTGTGCCATGAGACATCAGGCGCACCTATTTTCAATGGCGTTTAGCGTTGCTCTTTTTGCTGTCCTGGGGCAGCCTGGAAAAACCTGCCGCGCGAGCTGCACTCTTGATGTACTCGATGTGGTTGCAGATCGTGTCAAAGCCACGGACTACGTCGGCGAGCACGTTAGCGGCAGCAACAGGGCAGGCACTCTCCATGGCGATCAGAGTCCCAATGGCATCGTCATCGGTAGGCTTGGGCGCGAAGATGCCCTGGTTGAGAAAATCACATGTTTTCTCTATGTCAATGGGCTCCTCATCACACAGCGCCCTGAGGATACTGCCCACATCTGCGGAAAGGAACACGTTGAGGGGCGAGGTGGGCAGCTGCACGCTGGGATCTGCCGAAGGCATGGCCTCGGCCGAAGCGTGGCCAGCAGCCTCATACACACTCAGGCAAGTGTGCTCCTCGAGCCCCTTGTCGGCGTGCTCGGCCTTCTCTGGCTGCACCCTGCCGCCAGCGGCCCGCGCCAGGTCCTGGTCGCCCTCATGGCCGAACTTGGCGTCGACCTTGGGCTCCAGCTCGGACTGCAGCTCCGCCACGAGTTGCAACGCCTCCCGCAGCTCAGCGTCGAGCCCGCAGCACCTGGCCTCCATCGCCTTCTCCTGCTCGAGCCTCTGCACGAGCGCCTCCTGGGCTTCCATGGTCTTGGCCTCTGACCCTGAGCCTGCATCTTCGCCTGCTCGAGCCTCTGCACGAGAGCCTCTTGGGCTTCCATTGCTTTGGCCTCTGACTCCTGAACCTGCAGCTGCAGCGAGTGCCGCGCCGCGTCCGTGTCCACCAGCAGCTGCTGGTAGCGCTGGTGAGCCTCCTGGAGCTCCAGGCATTTTCCGGCGAGGAGTGCCGACACGTTGGCCTTTTCGTCGAGCTTCTCCTGGCTCGCCTCGGCCTTGACCGCCGTCTGCGCCAGCCGCTCCTGCGGCAAGCTCGGCACGTCGTCGCTGGATTCGCCGCCGCTGCCACCATCTACGACCGTCTCGGCGCCGGCGACGGCGTCCAACGCTTCAAGGATCTCGTACGCCAAGTGCGGGTCCGGGTGGGCCTGCGCCCGTCGGCCCCCGCGCGCCGTGACCCATCTCTTGGCCAGCTCGCGCCCGCTGTCCAAGCCGCTGCTGAGGAGCGCCTTCCGCACCTCTTCGGACGTGGCCTTGCGTCCAGCTCCCAAAATGCCCTCAAATGTCGTGAGCTGGTCTTGGCTCTGGCGGGACCCAGCAGGGTCCGACACGGCCGCCCGAGCAGCCTCCGCGACCGCCTTCTGGAGCAACCACTCGCTAAGGGCACGCCTGGCCCCCAGCTTGGATACAGCCCCGAGGACAGCCGTCAACTTCTGCTCTGCAGACTCCATGGGCCCCTGCTTCAGAAAGGAAGAAACCTCCAGGGGAGGAAAACCGTATGTGAGTGTGCAGAACAACACTCGAGCCCAAAGGGCTTGAGCCAAAATAGCTACAGAGGGGAGGAGGGAGAAGGGAAGGGGGAGGGGGAGGAGGGCAAGCTAGTTGCGCTCGCGACATATCTGACATCCTACCCCTCCCTCCCATCCCTTACCATGGCGCAGATCCCCTCTCTAACTCGCACAGTCGGATGTCGAGCAGGGCAATGATCCCAAAAGGGTACGCGATGCATTGTAGAGCACGGCATGGCATGGCGTAGAAGAGCACCGCAAAGCGTAGTATCAACCTAGCATTGCATTGCATGCCGTGGCATGGCAAGGGAAATGACGCCAGCGCTGCAGCGGGAGCACGTGTCGAAACGAGCGGAAGCGCGGAAATAAGGCCAACGCTGCAGCGGGAGCACGATTCGGAACGAGCGGAAGCACGGAAATGAGGCCAGCGCTGCAGCGGGAGCACGATTCGGAACGAGCGGGGCCCGAAAATGAGGCCGGCGCCTCAGCGAGAGCAGCATTTTGAAAAAAATGCAAGCGAAAACCCAACTCTGGGGAAACCTGTGTAAAAAAACAATACGCGGGGGGGGGGGGTCGGACACTCCCAGGCCGTCATCAGGGGAAGAGGGAGAGTAGTATTCATATTGAGTAATTGTGGAGGGGAGGAGGGGGAGGGGGAGAGGATGGGGGGAGGCGGGAGGGAGGGGTAGCAGAGGCGAGAGCTCCCAAAAGGCCCCACAGCGACTGCACTGTACGTGCTCCAGACGTGCACCCCGCGAAGCGAGGAGGAATGATTTGTAGCTTGCAGAAGAAAGCTTACACAACCAAAGATCAAATAAAGAACCCTGTTTAGGCTCCACGCTGGCGAACGCTTTCTCTGTGGGGATATCTTGCCACTCCCTTGGCTAATACCGCGGTCGCTGGATGATGAGGAGGAGGAGGAGGAGGAGGAATGGGACAGGGTAGGAGAGGGAGGATAGGAAAGAAAGTGGAGTATGAGCAGCAGCAACTCTCAACGGATGGGCGCGCCAGAGCAGCCGATGTAGTGCGCCAGAGCATGGGGGCCCAAATGCCACCACAAATTCATCGACAATTTCTCGCCGTCCTCAACCTCCAATGCCTCGTGCCTTGTCCGGTGGTCCACTTCCCACGGATCGTGGTTATGCACCGACGGCCACAAGATCGCAGAACCACGCTCAGGCTGAATTTCTAAATCAAGACTAGGAAACCGGGTGCCCCCACCTTTGGTCACATCGTTCAGGTACATGAAGAACGTGTAGATTCGATGCTTGTTCACGTTTCCTGGGTCGTCACGCCTGCGTACTGCCGCTGCGTCATGGTGCGCACGATAATACATGCCCTTCCCGTACCGCAAAAACTGCATTGACTCCATGTAATGAGGATGGACTCGCAATATTTCGCTGATGCGGGATACGAGCCGCTTGCCAACAGGATGCTCTTGGCATTGGCAGTTGCACCAGGCCACATCCGTCTTCCTGCCACTCGAGAAAACTTTTTTACGCCTTCCATGCTCGTCCAGCGCGCCAGTGTCGGAAGCTTCCTCCCACGGCCCCCGGGTATTCGCGTCTTTGAGAAAGTCTATCTCTTCATCGGTCAGGAACTTAGGAAACTTGACAATCCACGGATCTTCGCTCAGAATCTCCACGTCAAGGCCCTTTATGCTGCGCATGCGCTGAAAGGTCTGATTTATGGTTCCTGGTTCCAGGGATTCGGGCATGTCCACGAGGTGCTTACACCGTGCTGCGAAGTCCTTCAAGTGGCATGTGTTGCACGAGTGGGCGCACACGTCGATCATGTACGACGGGTTGTCCTCGCACCCGAGCCCCTGATAGGCTCGCGCGAACTGCGGGCACCTCTCCTCTCTATCCTTGCAATTCCTACAGCCGTCTGGGCCGCTGGGTCGGGTCGGGCGAAAGGGGGGGATAGCAAAGGGGGGGGTTGAGAATCAGCTCACGTAGCTGACTTTCCCGGCGCCTCCCGGCGCCGGAGGCGACTACGTATCGAGGAATGGGCCCCTCGGTGGGGCCGAAACCAGCTGCATGCAGCAGATTTTGTAACCCCCCCTTTCCCAATCCTCCCCTTTCGTCCGGCCCGACTGGGGCACACGGGCCAGATCTGCTCGGTGTTCCCGCTGTTCGTGCCGATGCACCTCTGCCAGCCGCAGCTGTGCTCGCACGCGGGGTACACCGGCAGCTCCACGCAGCCCGTGCCGTCGGCCGCGCACGTCTCGTCCCCCTCGGCGCCCGCCGGCACGGCCGCGGCCAAGCTCATGGCAAGCACCAGCGGTACCCACGGCATCTTCTCGGGCTGGGCGGAAGGGGGGGATAGCAAAGGGGGGGGTTGAGAATCAGCTCACGTAGCTGATTTTCCTGGCGCCTCCCGGCGCCGGAGGCGGCCATGTATCGAGGAATGGGCCCGGCGGCGGGGCCGAAACCAGCTGCATGCAGCAGATTTCGTAACCCCCCCTTTCCCTATCCCCCCCTTTCGTTCGGCCCGATCTTCGCCAGAACTGAGCAAGTGTCCACCGTGCAGCCGAAGGACCTCGGCGGAGCGCTGCCCTTGAGCCAAAATGGCTACGTGCGGACCCCGCGCGCGAGGAAACGAGGCTCCACCTGCACATCGTGACACTATTTCCTCCAAGAAGCCCCATCGATGCGTTGCACCTGATGCAAAAGGCGACGAACTCCGTACCAGTATGTTCGCGCGGTGGTTGCTGGCCAGTTGAGGACACCGTGTTACTGCATCGTCTCGTCCGAAGACCTGGTGTCTACTCAGCAGTAACACGCTTTTTTTTGGTGGGGGGGGCCGCATGGCTCCCTCTCGGCCACCGCGCCGGTGCGGTCTACAGCGTGTATCGCCAATCGTATGACTGTAGCAGCAAGCAGCGCACGCAGGTCGTAATCTGGAGCCTCCCTCGGCGGGCCTCCAACATTGAAGGCGCGCGGGGAAGCAGAAATCTCTTATAGTCAGGCGCCGGAGGGCTCGCGCGAGCAGGACGAGCGGTGCTCTGCCACGTGGTGCTGGAGTCAGAAGAAGGACACGCAACAAGTAAAAAACAATAGGGGCGCGAACTACAGAGGAAGAAACGTCTGCGTACACATGTATGACGATCATTCTTCTTCGAATATGCCGAGAGACCCATCCGCCGTCCTCATCGTACTCCTTCCTGGATCTACTCCTGCCTAGAACGAGCGAGAGTAAATACGCACGCCTGCTTAAAAAAGCAATTCGACGACTGTAAGCGCCAAGCAGGGCAATCAAGCGCGCACAAACGCGCAACCAAAATATCGTCCACGGCCAGAATCTCGTGGCACGGTTCACTTATACTGCGGCGGAGTGCGACTTAGTAGCAGGCGTCGCGCCCGAAGGTAACACCACGCAAAAGGTCAGACCTTGCATGAATTAGCGCCCGCCTCGCGCCGCCTCATTGCGTCTGCTTGGGAGCACAGCTTTTGTACACCAACCCGACAGACAATGTGGCCTGGCACAAGACCGTAGAGCAAGGTTGTGTACAAAATTGGCGTCCCCTGGGGACACGCTGTCTGTACACCACCCAAGCAAACACGCTGATCCAGCATAAAGCACGCGCGCGGGGGCCGACTGCAGCCGCCCGTCCTGGGACCACACCATCTGGGATGAGCGCTTGACGCCACGACAACTCTCCCACCCCCGCAACTCGAACCACCGAAGTGCTGACACCTCAGCCCACACATCGCTCGTGCCCTGCAGCGGCAGGAGCCCCTCTTGCGCCGCTGCCGGACGCCCGCGGGGTGCAGAGGGCGCTGCCCGGGCATCACGAGAGAGCGGTGGCGTTCAGCAGACTGTCGAGGGCACGGCAGCTCATCCAGGTCGACGTGAGGTTGTACTGCTCGAACTCTGGCCCTGATGGCGTCCTGCAATAGGTGGCTGTCTCGTCGATCATCGCGTGCGCGGACCAGAACAGCATGAAAGGACAAAACAGCAACGACCACGTCCACGAACGCCCATCGGCTTTGGCCATGATGTCATACCCGTACACCTTCTTCAGGGTGAGCAACGCGGAAAAATCGACCAATGCTTCCACGATGACCTGTATCACCAACGTGCGAAACAACTTGATGGGATCCGGGTTGGTATCGCCCTTTCCAGAGTAGTCGAAGACCAGAACCAGGACAATGCCGTTGATGGTGAACACGTGCTGGCACAGAGTCTCAAACGCAAACGTGTGCATACGGATGTTCTTGCTCCTGTCGCTGGCGAGCTGGGCCGACGGGTTCTCGACGAACCGCCCGAACAGCCTCCGGTACACAAGATCGTCGCGCAACTTCATGTTGATTCGGAGCAGGTACTCTCCAACACCATTGATAACCAGAACTGTTGTCACGTACTCCCACCGCTGTATCCCGACCACAATCATCCTTCCGATGGAGGCCTTGAACACAATGAAAAACGATGGTATGAGAAATGACGTTGACCAGTGGTTACCTTTCGAGGCGCGCGCAATCATCCGCGTCCAGGGCATGCAGACCAATTCCATCGAGAGGCTGAGGAAGACTACCAAGAACACCCTCATGCGGTCGGACGCCTCATCAACCTGATCGCTCAGCGATATAGCCTGCGGCCTCAGCACGAACCAGTACAACAAGAACACCAAGACAAATTCGAACTTGAACATGTAGAAGCATGGGTTCCCAGTGGCTTTGGATAAGTACGCGAAGGTCGCGACAGTAATGGCAGGGACCGCAAAGTACACCTGAATTTCTTCAAACCCAATCTGCAAGGCCTGAACAAGCGGGCAATCGGCTTGACCAGCACCAACCAATACAGATCTCATCCATATGGGAGCAGACCAAGCCATGCAAAGAACGATGACGGGGTACAGCACGCACAACCTGAAGATCTTCCCGGTGATCCTCCAAGACCACGAGGCGCATATGACGTACAGGGTGCCTGCGAGCCCAGCAAAATACAATACTTTGGGAAGCGGGCTCAGCAGCTCGTCCAGCCACGGCTGTTTCCTCGCTCTCTCGATGTACATGAGCATGATCGTCGACTCCTTGGGGTCGCACGTCCATGGGGGATCGACCAATCCACCGATACTCCATTTGCCCGCCACGAGCGATGTCAAGATCGTCGGAATCAAAGTGAACACCAGCGGGATCGGGAAGTACTTCATCTCCGTGCAGCAGTGCTTGGCGAACCTGCGCGCCATCGACTTGAAGCTCGCGTCGGAGCCGGGGGGCGGCCCGCGCACCTGGAGCTGCACGGCCCAGCCCGCGGTCTCCCCCTCCGCCTCCGTGTTCACGGGCGTGGTGAATACCTCGGCGACCGCGGACCACGACAGGCCGTAGCAGCAGAACTCGCGGCGTCCTGCGTCGACAACTCTCTTGCTGGCTGACGAGACCCTGGTGATGCCGCTTGCGTTCCTGCGAGGCCCAGGGCTCTGAGGACTCCCAATCGAGCTTGACGAATCGTCCTTGTTCAAACTGGTTGTGGCCCAGCCGGAGGGCACCTTCTCCATGTTCTCCTCGTCGGCCTTCTTCCCGGCGCCGCCCGTGGAGGCTGCGGCGTGCTTGTGGGCCTCGCCCTCCTCTTCGTCGCCGCCCCTGCGGGCGGTGGCCGCGCCCAAGAGCTTCGGCACGTCGGCGGCGCGATCACCGCGGCCCCCCTGAGGTGGGCGCGACGGCTCCACGGGCGGCGCCGCTGGGAGGCTTTCGCTGAGCGCCGGCATTGGCGGCTTTGGCCTGTCAACCAGAGTGGCTCGATCCGCGGGGGACTGCAGGGGGAACGGGCTGCCGGCACAAAACAGCTGCGGCTTGAGCCAAAACGGCTGCGGACTCAGCAGCAACACGCTGCTGGGTTCCCCACGACGGCGTGTCATACTGGCTGTGTCCCCGAATAGCGGGCTTGCATGATGGTATGCTGCTTGTCTGGAGGCAGAGGACGGCTCCTGTCGGCTCGGGCGCCGTCTCTTCGCGCAAGTGCTGCCGTGCTGTGCTGCGTGCTGCGCGGTGCGGTGCCAAACCGAACTCAGCTGTGCAATGCTGATTGCTGCTTTATGGCATGCTATGCCGAGCTGCGCGTTAGCATTCAATGGTATGCCATGCTGTGCCGTGCTGCGCCACCCCAGGCCATGATATGCGAGGCCATTCTACGCCATGCAACTCCATCCTTTACAATGCTGCTGCGCCGTGATATGTCAAGCGGAACTATGCTGTGCACTGTTATGCAGCACTATTCGGCCCCATGCTTGGCATTGCATGGTACCTCATCGTGTAGCATCTCGTTGCATTGCATTCGCACGGGGTCGCGCCAGGTTCAGTTGAAACGCAGGAACGCATCAATTGGTCAAAGCATTAACGTTGAAGAGAGGCTCGCTGCTCAACGGAAATCCTCCAATCGGATGTGCAGAGGCCAATTCATAGGTTGACAACCTTTGACTTATGCAATGGCGCATCAAAAAGTCACACGTCTCGCACTGACCAGTCTTATTCTTAGCATTGTCCGAGTGAAACCCAGAGTGCCCCCAGCCACAAGATCTGTCGATGAATTCGCCAAGACCGTCGTTTCATTCTGAGCATGGTTCTGGCGGTCCTGGAGCCCAGAAACAGCCTCCAGAAACCGACACGGATCTGTGAAACTATCCAGCTCGGTTTCTGTCGAGCCGCCAGGGATCCGAGAACGACCTATCTTCTTGAACGATCTCTGAGGCCGCCAGGCGCCTTCAGTCTTGAGACCGACTCTGCCCCTCGCGGCACCGCGCTGCGACGGCGCGAGTCCGCCGCAGGTCTGACATTGACCCCCAGACTTCCCTGCAGGGCGCATGCGTCAGCGGCGCGCATCAGGGGGCGAGGGAGCTGCCTTCCTGACTACCTACCAGACCACCCCAACCCAACCCGAAGACCCGAATTTCGGGTTGGGGGGGGGGGTAAGGGTTCCACATGTGTTTTTTCAATGTTTCCCGACCCCCCCCCACTGGAAATGGAGGGTAAATCTGAGCCTTCGGGTTGGGTTGGGGTGGTTTGGTGGGTGGTGACTTCCTATGAGCTAGGCTGTCTTCTGCGAGGCCGCCTCGGGCCTTTCTGCAAGCAGCCGCCCGTAGGAGCCTCCGATCCCTTCTGAGAGTCCACCGGGCTTCCTACAGGTACCCAGCCCCCGGTGCCCACGCCGCCGCAGTCCGACTCGGAACTGGGATTTCCCGGGGCGAATCCGGCCGTGGCGACGAGCGCCCCCCCCTCAGCGGCGCGGTAACGGGTACTCACTAACGGGTACTTTTGACAATCGCCGAACGTTGCCACTTCAGGGCCTCTTCGTGGCATTGCGGCGCTGCCCACATCGGGGAGGGTTGGGTTCGCAGGGTCACTGGCCAAAGTACCCGTTGGTGGAGTCCCCGTGAGAGGGGCGCCGACCCCCCCCAATGGAGGCCCCCCCGGAGCGGTAAAGAGCATCCCAAACCTCCCCGCCTCGGGGCCAGGAGGAGGAGGAGGAGTCCAGGAGGAGGAGGAGGAGGAGGAGGAGGAGGAGGAGGAGGCCCCCAATGGAGGCCCCCCCCCCGAGCGGTAAAGAGCGGGAGGTGCCAGAGCAGAGCCCGCAGGCACTCCTCCACAGGGGCTGGGCGGCACGCTGCCCCCCTCCTGCCGAGGCCCTCGGCAGGAGGGCGGCGGGGGGAGCAGCCCACCCGTCTACCGAGGGCCCAGCAGGAGGAGGGGTGGGGGGGAGCCGTCGTCTTGCGCGGGTCCGCGCAGCAGAGGTGCGGTCTCGCGGAAGGACGCTGGTCGTCAAGGTGCAGGGGCTGCTCTACGACGCGGCACCTCTCCACGCGATTGTGGTTGCACTTTGTCTGTGGCGACGACGACGACGACGACGACGACGACGACGACGACGACGACGACAACGACGTGTGGGGGAGGAGAAGGCGGAGGAGGAGGAGGAGGAGGAGGAGGAGGAGGAGACGAGGGAGCAGGAGAACGAGTAGGAGGAGGACGGAGGAGGATGGAGAGAAGGGGAAGAAGGGGGAAAAGAGGAAGAAGGAGGATGAGGAGGAAGAGGAGGAAGAGGAGGAGGCGGAGGAGGAGGACGACGACGGCGACGACGGCGACGACGACGGCGGCGACGTCGGCCCAAAGGCACCCCTCAGCCTGGACCCTCCGCCATCCTGCCGAGGGCCTGGCAGGGGCAGTCCACCCCCTCCCACAGGTGGCGACATCCGAACCCTACCCCCACCAACCATCGCTTGTCCTGGACCGCTGGGAGGCGGGGGCAGGGTTCGGATTCTGCCACGTGTCCGACGCATTCCGAATCTTTCCCCCGCCGCCCATCGAGGAGGAGGAGGGGGAGGAGGAGGACGAGGAGGAGGAGGAGGAGGAGACCTGAACCGTTGATCGGCGAGGGCGGTGCTCGGATTCCGCCCCCTATCCCCACCAAGCGGGCGGCGCCGCGGACCGCCCAGCCCGCCAAACGCACCAGGCGCAGCGCCTCCGCGGCGAGGGCGGCGGTCCCCAGGAGCAGCGCCGCAAGGGCTGCGAGGGGGTCCTCGCCGCAGCAGGAGCGGCGAGGGTCGGGGAACAAACAGCTTGCCATCGCTCGGACGTGCATTCCCCGTGCATTCTTCGGCTTCCTGCGTTTGTTCCCAACCATCCTGTGGTGGTGGGTCCTCGTTTTGAAG